GCCCGAGGCCGCCCTTCCCCGCCTCTCACTCTCCGCTCGCTCCGTTTCAGTTTCCAAACCAAGAACGACGGTGGGACGGAGAGTGGTCCTTGTGAAGATTGTGTAATTGGTAATAATGTGAGGACAGGCGACCCAGGAGTCCAAGAAAAGTAAGTCTGTGTCATCGAATGTCGTACAAAGCCTGTGTGTGTGTGTGTGTCTGTGTGTGTGTGTCTGTGTCTGTGTGTGTGTCTGTGTGTGTGTCTGTGTGTGTCTGTGTGTGTGTGTGTGTGAGTGTGTGACAGTGGGGGCCAACAGGCACGAATTATTTTTTTTTTTAAAAAAATCCCTGCTGGTTGACTATTTTAGGACTCTAAGGCAAATCCTGAGGCCGGGCATTCTTGTCCACAGACGGAGTAAAGAGATGTTGGCCACACACTTAAACAGCAAAGAGTACCCAGAGGACAAAGTACAGAAGGGAGATCCTGAGGATGCCAAAGAGGTGATGGGCTTGGTGACTCATGGGGCGCTTCAGAATTGGTTAGAAAAGGTCAGGTACTTGGCCAGGTAAAATGAGGAGTGGCCGTGCCTGCAATTTAAGTCTGTATCCGGAAGGAGTGCAATGGCCACGGCCCTTTAGACCGTTCTTAGCTTCATCGGTTCCTTGTTGTTACACCGTTTACAGATGCCCGCTCAACCTTCATCCCTACATTTGTGTTTTTCTTAATAATTCCCCTTCATTTTGCTGCTTTTCTCAGAATCCTAGAATCTGAGAGCTAGAGGAGGCCTTGGAGATCATCTAGGGAACCAAAACTGAGAAAATGACATAAATGACTCAAGGTCATCCCTCCACTGCAGCGGAGCTCTGGGCCAGACCCTGTGTCCCTCTTCAAGGTCTTTTGCGGCAGCACACAGACACTGCCAGGACCTTCTTGAGCTCCATGTCCGGGGCTCCCTAATAAGAACAACTCACATGTCTTCCCAAAATGAGGCCCATGCCCAGTTAGAGACAGAATGATGGTCCAGGTGGCTCTCGGGTTTGACATGTTACCAGATGCTATTTGAATATGTCAGTGTAAGCTCTTATTAACCTTAGAAATACGAAAATGATGGATTATCACTGCTTTTCTGTATCACTTAGTGACACTTCTGTTTCTCACTAACAATGCACATATAACCTGTATTTTTAGAAGCAGGGCTTGTTGTGTTCATAAGTTGATCATTTACACTGTTTGTCCCATTCTCTTACAGGGTGATGATTTGCAAAAAGCACACACACTTGTCCCTGGACCCCCTTCAGTTACTCATAACAAAGGACCTTTAAAAGGAGTGACATTTTCCAGGGAGGTAATTGTTGTGGATCTTGGGAAGGAGTACCCTGTGCCTCAGAGCTATATTCATGTGCATAAAGAGAGAAAATGAAGCTCAGGAAAGGCTGAGAATGAAAGAAATGTAACCTTGGACTAACAATGAGATGACTGGGGTGGGGTACAAAATCATGTTGAAACAGCAAAATAATGGAGGATTAAGCAAATACAAATAACATTTTACTTTTGTGCAGAAAGAAGTGGGCTACATGCAAAATTCTATAAGTAAAATACCCAGAGCTTGAATATAGAGTGTTTTTTTAAAACACAAACCTGAGTTCAAGGAATTGATTGTATTAAGTGTCCTTGCAAGTCAGTCTATTCAAAGCTTCTAACATGAATAAAGTTATTTGTGTTTGTGCAGATGTCTATTAGGTAAATGGTATTCAAGGGAACTTTGGAAACAGCACATGTCCTTGATGATCACAGGCATTCATGACCCAAAACATTACTGCCATCATCATGGGAACCTCCAATAACTAGGACTAGGGTCCCTGCCACGCAATCCCCATTGAACTCAGTCCTGAAACCTTTCTTGTACTGACTGACAGCTGCTTTTTTAAAAAATGTATCTTTATTGATTTCAGAGAGAGGAAAAGAGAGGGAGAGAGACAGAGAGAAACATCAATGATGAGAGAGTCATTGATCGGCTGCCTCCTGCACGCCCCCCACTGGGGATCGAGCCCGCAACCTGGGCATGTGCCCTGACCGGGAATCAAACACTGATCGCCTGGATCCTAGGTTAACGCTCAACAACTGAGCCATGCCCAGCTGGGCTGACAGCTGCTTTTTAAGACTGATAACCAAAAAAACTACCATTACCAACAAAATACCCTCTTGATTATAGTATTCTTGATTTCAGTAATTTAAAATTTGCTGTCTATATGTGGAATATGACAGTACAGACCAGTACAACATCACCCAACACACTGCAGCAAATTTTAGTGAAATATTTAGGGGCTATGAGAGAGAGAAAAAGCAGAAGACATGGCATTTGATTCCGGGGCCGAGCACATTGTCATGAATGTGGCCTGTGCTCAAGAAATGTCTGTTGAGTGATTGAAAGAATAAGTGATAAAATAATTTAGAATGTGTAACTGATGCTCAGTGGGGAATATTGACACCCTTGGCCTGGGACTATCCATTGTGAGGAGGAGAAGGGACCTAACCCAACGGAAGGATTGGGTAATGCAAGCAGAGGAAAGTGTATATTTCATACGAGGAAAGGCACAAGCCAAGGCAACGAGGTGAGAATACGTGTTGATTTTGGTGGACGTCAGTTAGCAGGAGCTGCAGGTTGGCGTTGAGGAGAGCTGAGCAGTAACTGAGAGTAAGGTCACTCTTAGGATCCCAGGCTAGAGGTATAGGGTGGAGAACAGATTAAAGCAGTGTGGACTGCAGGGTGTGTGGGGTCTACGGAAATATTCAGAGCCCACGAGTTCTCTGCAAGCACTTAAAAATTTTGGTCTTTCACCTGCTGATAATAGTAAACATTTATTTATTTTTATTTATTTATTTATACTTTTAAAATTTATCTTTATTGTTGAGAGTATTACAGGTATACCGTTTCCCCCCCCAATTGGCCCCCTCCACTTCGCTCCCACCCCCTCCCCAGGCCTTCACCCTGTTATTGAC